GGTGGCAGGGTCTGGGGAACGTTTCAGCGGGAAGGCCGGGACTAGGAGAGCTGCCCTGCCGAGGGGGGCTGTGCGAGGCCGGGACGCCCCAGCCGCGTCTCCGTGTAATGCTGTTTGTCCTGATGCATCGTGCCCAAGCGTTGCTGCCACTGCTCCACCATGCTCTGCGTTGGTGATGCTGTTCCTCATCGGGTCTCAACACATCCTCGATGTCCCTGTCCTGTCGTGATGACTGTTGTGGCGCACTCACACCCCGCTCCGTCAGAGAGCCCTGTGGGGCCGCAGCACAGGGAGCGATGTGGGTCCATCGATGTGGCTCTGCTGCAGAATCTTGGATGCCACTGGCTGAGAAAACCCCTGCTTGACACAGGACTTTGCTTTCAGGGTGTTTCAGTGTTTTTCACGAGGAAGGTGTCATCTGGCCTGCCTGCTGTCACGTCCAGAGTGGTTTGGTCTTCACTGCTGCCTGCGGTGGAGTACCCAGGGTGCTGCCTTGGTCTGTTACAAAGCGTTTCTTTGGCATGTTACAGGCTAATGGGACGCACCAAAATGCTGCCCTGGCTCGTTGCCGCTGTGTGCAGAGGTCTCTGTCCCAGGGAGATCCAGGAGCCATCGCTGTCTCGCAGACGCGGTTTGAGCTGTAGACCGTCTCTGCTGTGGCAGCTGTGCGTGGTTGGGACGCTGGTTTACTGAGCGACGCAGGAGCTGCTCATCCTCTGCTCTCGGGGCCGTAGCTGCAGGATGGACCCGTTTCTGTCCGTACCACTTTGCTCTGGTTGCAGCTGCAGTTCCTAAAAATGGACCCATGTCCAGTGGTGTGGGCAAGGCAGGGGAACAAGGAACCCTTGCTGAGTCTGAGGACACATTACCCCAGCTCGGGAAACCACAGCATTACTGAAGCAGTGATGCCGAAAGGGAAATCTCCTCTTCCCTCACTTTCTCACGGGAGCGGTTTTGGCCTGACGGGTTTTCTCTGAACAAGCACAGTCTGCCTTGCATGGAGAACAGCTTTGTCAGTGCAGGCAGCTTGGGCTCTTCCTCTGCCTGCATTCTCTGAAACTCGGCTGTTGCTTTGTTCCATGTGCTTAAAAACTTGGGTCCAGGGCCAAGGTGGAAGCGCTGGAGCCATCTAGAAACATGAACGTGAGAGCACATCATTGGTCAGCCTTGGTGTGACTTCCGAGAGGAAAGTTGTTCTCGTGCCTGAGAAGCAGAGATCAGTGGGAGGAAAGCAGCTGCTGGGAAACTTAAATTCCTTTAATCCCCCCTTCCCCCCTGTGATCAAATGGCCCATGGATGTAGGAGCGATTTTCCAGCACAAAATAAGTGGAGTTCACCGCTGTGACCTTTTGTGGTGACCAAAGCTGTCGCAGCAGTGGGAGCATCTGCACCTTGGCCCAGAGCCGCTCTTGGTCTGGGGGCATCTGGCAGGGCTCGGTGTTGCTGCTGTCTTTGACGTGTGCAATGCTGTTGTGTTTTCTGGCTTCTGTATGAGATCCGGATCTGAAGTGTGAGGCTGCAGCCACCTCCCCTTTAAACGGGGTAACTCCACACCGTGTGGCACCAGTAATCGGGAATGTTCTGTCACCATTTACATATTTAGGCCAGCCTTGCCTTTTCCCCCGACTTCTGTGCCTTTGACTCTTGTTTCCGTGGTCTTACAGCATAGAATCACAGCATGGTTTGTGTTGGAAGGGACCTTAAAGATCATCCAGTCCAACCCCCTGCCACGGGCAGGGACACCTCCCACAATTTAGATTTGTAAAGAATCTTCTGGACTGTTCAGTTTCACCCGTGTTTAGATTTGGGTGTGGAATGGGCCATTTACTTTCTCTGTTGCTTATTTCTTCTTTTCCCAGTCCAGACACGGCCGTGCTGGTTGATTTATGGTGACTCCAGCTCACAGCGGTTCCCACTTGCTGCAATGCCACTTACTGCTTTGGGGAAATAAACTCGTGATTAATTACAGAGTTGTCATCCTGTTGCACTGACTTACTCTTCGTTTCAGCACCTGGTCGTTAACACAGGATCTCTCAGTTCCTGCCGTATTCTTGATGTCTTTTCAAGCCAGCCCATCCTCTGCTGACAGTTTCCATCTTTGTTTTCAAAGTCCATTGTATGCAGGTTCCCTATCGATCCCTGTGCAAAGGAGGCGCCGTCAATGCATGGATCCTTGTCTTGGGAAAGAGAGATCTGCAGATGGCTCAAGGAGAGCGCGTAGGACACTCCCTTATCCTTTTCACAGGATCTGGGCTGTTTGGAAAGGTTTATCCAAGAGGGTTTTGTATGTGGTTGTGTTCCAGTGAGTCCCAACAAAGGGGCATTCCCCGAGTTGTGAAGCCGTTTCCCAGTATGACCATCCTCGGTGCAGAGGCTGCCTGAGTCCTTTCTGTCCCTTCTCTTCTCGTTACCCCCTGAACTCCTCCCCTTCAGGTGCATGTATCTGGCCTGCCCGAGCGCTCTACAGTGGGGCTGTCACTGGTAGCGCTCAGGGATGGGGAGCTGCGGGTCAGCGCGAGCTCCAGTTGGGCTGGGGCATCCTCACCCGAACTGGGAGGGAAGGAGTGAGAATCTCACAGCTGCTGTGCGGATCCTTCCCCTTCCTCCCGCTCCCATATGGAAATGTCTTCTGCTGCCTTCAGGCCAGAGTTATCTTAGTGGTAATTGCACCTAGGAAACAGCTGCTTCTCCAGGCTGTACACTATTTGCAATACAAGTGTTAGCACCTGAAGGCACTAACTCAGAACCCAAAGTCTGGGGTGGTTTTTTGGTATATGCTTTGTGGTGGTGTTAAAGGCTGAATTTTGGTGTGAAGCTGTGCTGTTTTCTTAAATAAGTTGTAAAAGCCTCCTACTGAAGTGTCGTGGATGTCCTGGCTCCCGCCGAGCGAGCAGCGATGGCGCACGGCCGAGATTGTTGGTGACTGAGGATCATAGAAAGATGTCACTGGTGACCGGGCACTGACACCATGATTTTCTTCCGCAGTCGGATGCTCTCGTTACCCCAAGGCATCGATTAATTACCTGCTCGCTCCCTAGGCTGAACTTGAACAGCGTTTCCACGCGCAGCCCTGGCAGGAGCCCATGTTCTGGGTTGGTTTCCAGCCCTCAGCCCTTTCTGCTGCCTGAGCTTCTGACCCAGCACCGAGCGCCAGAAGCAGATGCCTGTTCTTGGTGTCACCCTTTCCCACCCCACCGGTGCCGCTCACAGTCCTATCGAGTCCCTCGCTGCCTGTTCAGCTCTCGATTTCTTTGCTCGCCCTCTGAGCCTGGTGCTCAGCTGCTTCTGGTTGCCCCCCAAAGAGTGCATCAGTTCATGAAAACGCTGCGTTCAAACAAGTGTAATGTGTGTATTTAGAGGAGCGGCTTAGGGTCAGAGTCCTTCTTTAAGTGAAGATGTAAGACATAAAGATTTGAGGTCTTAAACTGGTGAGAGGATAAATAATGAGTGAGTGCTGAAGGTAAAAAAAAAAAAGATAAAATGGAAACCCAATGGTTAGAGACTGAGGGGAAGGTGATGGATCGGGAGGAGAGGAGCTGGAGGAGCTGCTGAATGCCCTTGACTAGAGCACAGCACAGTTCCTAATGCTGCCCTGTGTGAGTTTTGTTAACTTTTGCTTTGAAATTAGACTAATTGCATTTGCTGGTGGGGTTAAGTGGCTGGAGGGGGTGTTACAATTTTAAGAAAGATGTCTCAGCTGTGTTTTCCTCTGTTCTCAAAGGCCTCGGTCGGCAGGCAGAGTCCAAGGGTGGTGCCGTACCCAGCCCACAGCCTGTGTCCTGGAGAGCCCGGCCTTCAGAGCGTAGCAGGTAACCACGGTGTGAGCGCATGCCTGTTTGCTGGTCTGGTTTCCAGGGGAACCAAGGCTCTTTCGCAGCCTATCTGTTCCCCTTCCAACATCTTCTGAACCTGGTGATTGATTCCTGTGCTGTCTTGACAGAGGGGGAAGTCTTAAATATGTCAGAGCTCCTACAAGTGTCCATTTGCCTGTTCTTGCAATAAGGGATGATTATCCTGAAAATGCCCTGGGCAAGGGGAAGACGGAGTGTGTGCTCACATGTTATGACACTAGCGAATCCAGTTGGGAGAGGCACAGAAATGCCCAGAAAACTTTCAGATTCAGCTTTCAGTCAGCTGTGGGACTTGAACGTGCAGAGAACCAGGCTTTGCAATGTACCCACAATGACTTTTTGGTGGCGTTCCCCAGCCCCTGCTCCTCTCTGCCTCATTTCCTCCTCTGGCTCCTCATGGCTGCACATACAAGAAGGGGTCATCCCAGGCTTTGCTGTGTCTGAAGATCTGGTCCAGGGTGGTGCTGATATCCAACTTCTAATCCCTGCAGTTGTGTCAATGGGCTCAGCTGATCATCGACTGAACCTGGCAGAGATCCTCTCCCAGAACTACGGCGTGCGGGAGGAGAGGGAGGAAGAGGATGATGCTCAGGAGAAGCAGAAATCCTTAGAAGATCTGGAAAAGAGTTTCAGTGCCTCTCAGGTAAAGGCAGTGAGGGAGGGGAAAGGGAATTACTTGCTGGGTTTTCGTGTTTGCTGTGACAGTTCTGGTACCAGAGATCTTTGTGAGGAGCCCTGACTTGGGCGGCTGGCAGTGCGCTGTGTTTAGGTCAACCCACCAGCGAGTCGGGTCTGAGTTTGAACGGGAAGGAATTGGTTGACTGCTGGTGACAGCAGTCAGTTTTGGAGTCTTCATCTGCCAGGCTGCCACTCTGACAGCAGAGGTGGCCTCCACTCACTGTGCTGAAGAGCCATCAGCTGCTGTGTGTGCCGTGTCCAGTGCACAGTGGAGGAGCCACGGAGATGAGGTGACACCATCCTGTGCGTGGTCCTCACAGAGGCCTCAGTGGGACACAGTGTGTTCTTGGTGACAGAGGCTGTCTCTGGGTCAGGCACAAGACTAGTATAGGGTTTGCTCCTTGCCTTCCGTGGTATAAACACAGTTCTGCTGTCTGGCATCTCTGCACCAGCATTAAATCTGGTATAAAAAGTAAATGATTTTTTAAATGCTTTTGACTGCATTGCTCTGAGGTGAAAGCTCCTGGCTTCTCCATACCTTTGAGAAGAAGGGGTGATGGTGGGAGTGGACAGACTGTGCCCCTCTCACTGTGCAGCATTGCCCGAGGCAGTTCAGAGCCCCCAGAAGAGCGGAGCTGCCGTGACTGCCCCTGCCTATCTCTGTTCACTACAGCTGGTGTTGTACGTGTTGATTGTTCCATTCCTGATGAAGCTTTGTCCTCCTCTTGCTCAGAGCAGTGAAATGCCATTTGAGGAGCTGCTTGCACTTTATGGCTATGAGGCATCTGACCCCGTCTCGGAGCAGGACAGCAAGAGCAATGATATTTCTCCAAACCTCCCAGATATGACTCTGGATAAGGTAAGAGCAGCTGCCTGCTGGGGGGTGCTGTAAGTTACTGTCTTGGAGCCTGAGTAGCTCCTTTCAGGTGGGGTTTGAGTAAAGTCAGGGGAAGGGGCCTCCTTGTTCTGGTGTCCCAGCGAGGAACGCCGGGTGCAGAAATTGGATTTAAAGAGTTTAGAGAAGGCTGGAAAAGGATAACTTTTATAAAGAACACTGTAAAACCTTTACAGAACTTGACTTGCAGATCTTTGTAGATAAATGTGTATCTGTGCAGTCAGGGGAGGTTTGCATCTTCCCAGCTGAAGCTAAAGTCTGTAGAACACTTCTCTTTTTCCCTTCCAGGATCTTTTGAGATATTTGTCCGGGGTGGAGCTCGGCAGAAAGGGCCACTGGCTCATCCTCTCTGGCTTCCGTATGAAGCTGGGGTTCCCGAAGAAAGCCACTCTTGGCTTCTAGGGATGTTAATCTCAGGGTGGTGGGGAGTGTGAGAGGGAATCCTTCATTGGAGAAGCTCTGGGAGGGTGAGGAGATCTGTAGATGTGGCCAACTACTCTAGGCCTCACCCCTCCATATTTTTATTTTTAATTTAAAAATATTTTTCACTTTCTTGTTGTTGTTAAAAGGAACAAATAGCGAAGGATTTGCTTTCAGGGGAAGAAGAGGAGGAGACACAGTCTTCAGCTGATGATCTGACCCCGTCCGTCACATCCCACGATGCATCGGACCTGTTTCCAAACCAGCCTGGCTGTATGTGTCGTTCATTGCTAAATAATTGGGTTTTACTTGTGTGCAGAATAGGGCAAGAATGTTTTTGTCACTAAATTTCCTGAAATCAGTTTTTCCACTTCCGGGGCCTGCAAATAAACCTGAGTGGCAGTGGTTTTACTGAGCGTTGTTCAGGATGTGATAGAGTGCAGATGAGCAGTGGGATGAGAAGAGTCTGTAGCTGTAGCTCATAACGCTGAGACAGTGAAAAATGTTTTGCTACCTGCTCTAATTGCAGTCTGAAAGATCAGTACCTGATCCAGCATCTCTAGGAGTGAATAAATTCAGTAGCAGCAGTGGTGTGGTGTATTGTGGCAGTCCCTAAATATCGGAATACGCAGGAAGCCAAAGTGCCTGAGAGAGACTCACCATAAAAGAGTCTCGTTCCTTCTGCTGCCCTGCAAAATGAAGGAGCCTGAGCTCCCCAGGCTGGTCAGCACCACCCGTGTGGCTGGTGTGCACATTCTATTTAAAAGGAGAAAATTATGGCTAAGTTGTCACTGAGGAGCATGCTAAAAGTAACTGTAGGACATAGAATGAAGGGGAGAGAGGAAACATAGAGCAACAGGAAAAAAACCCCAAAACACTTCATAACTATGGATCTTTTCCTTCCGCAAAGCAAACAACTTCCTCGCTGATGAAGACAAAGAGCCCTGTTCATCTCCGTGTGCTTCCTCCATGGCTGAGGATTCGGAGGAGGATTCCATCCCAGCCAACGAGTGCAAGAAGGTAAATGATGTGGGTGCGCTGGGAAGAGGAGGTAATGCAGTGCGCCCGGGTCTGATGAGCGCTTTGGGCAGGCCTTGTGTTTTCTGGAAGGCAGTGGCAGGTATGGGTTACGAGAGGCTTTTTTAATATGATCTTGAAACCTGTATCTGAAACTGTCTTCTGCTTCAGCTATGGAAAATGCTGTTGTGCCTTGGTAAATTAAAACTGCAGCCTGTAGCCCTATAAAGGTGAAATGTTGTGCAATATTCCCAGCAAGATTTACTGAGGGAGAACCACCAGACTTCCAAATTCATCCTGGTTGTGAAGGTTGCAGGAGAGCTCCTGCATTTCTTTATCTGCAGCCTTACTGTTTGCCGTATATCTTTAACATTAAAGCTATGTAAATGCCTAAGGTCCCCAAAGGATCATCTGGTCCGTTGTAAATCTTTTTAGTTACCCTATAAAATAGTCAGGGTTCCCTAGAAGTAACAGTGACAGTGGGGACTACCGATACATAAATCGACCTCGTGGTGTCATCGTCCCTAAATCACGAAGTGCACCTCGGTGCCTGTGTGGAGCGTTTTCCATTTCAATTTACCCACTTCTCCGTGGTGGTATTTCAGGAGATCATGGTTGGACCTCAGTACCAGGCTGCTGTTCCCATCCTCCACTCGAACAGGCGCGGTGAGAAAGGTAAGGCCTCTGCGTATCTTGCCTGGATGTAGGGCTGCTGGGGTGTCCCGTGGGGCCCTGGTTCACCCCTTCTGCTCTGTGTCTGGGCTTGGTGCCTCTCCGTGTGGACACCCAAGATTTACAGCTGCGCCTGAGCTGCCTTTGAGCGAGGCTGCTTGAGCAAGGCTGGTAACATGGCTACAGAGGCCAAGGAGCTCAGTGAAAACTGGGTGTGGAGGCTGCCGCAGGGTTTCTGGAGGTTTCCAGGCTGTCACAGGGAGGGACAGCCTTGCAGCTGCTTAGATTTGTGTCTTGGACAGAGAGAGGGTCTTGAGCCTAGGCCAGGGTTGTTGGTCAAAGCTGCCTTTGCCTCCCGCTCCTTTTGTTTACTGTGTGCTAGAGCACACACCGTAGCACCTGGGTTTTTTGATTGCCAGGATTAATGAATCAAAGCAACAATGTTTGAGAACGTGGTAACAAAAGCCTTGTCAACCAACCCTCCTGAAGAAAGTACCAAGCCTGTGTTCAGGGCTCTGAAAGAGGTGTAAAGAACGTTAAGCTTATCTGCCCCCGAAATGGTGAGGGAAAGTGCAGTACCTCCACGCTGATGGTTGTCATCTGTAGTGCCAGGCTGGAGTCCCAGGCAAAGATTTCCTCCCTCCTCCATGCACGTACATGCAGACCATTTCTCAAAAGAAGCAGAATTCTCTGTTTGATTAGCTTATCTCAGTGTTTGTTCTCTTAGCCTATGAGAATGAAGATCAGCTGCTTTGGGACCCAAACATACTCCCTGAGAGGGAGGTGGAAGAGTTCCTGTACCGTGCCGTGAAGCGGCGATGGGACGAGCTGTCCAGCGGTAGCCTGCCAGAAGGAGAAATGGTAAAGGACAACGAGCAGGTGAGCACAGGGATGCTTTTGTGGTGCGACACTTCTTACAGAGATCCTGAATGAGAGACCTGCTTAAAAGAGAATGAGAGCCCACTCCAGTGATCCTCTGCTCCCGCTTTGAGGGTAATGAGGGCGTGCTGTTCACGGCAGTCACAGGAGGCTGCTCACCCTCCTGCTGGGAAGGCCGCAGTGGATGGAACTGCAGGCTGGTCTAGCTCAGTACGCTCCTTCCAACGCAGTAACACATGTTTGTGGAAAGCGTGTAACAGACCGAGTGGAGGTACTGGTTTGGCTGTATTCTCCCAGTATCCCAAACTCTCTGAACCAGAGCTTGCAGCAGGAACATTCTTTCAGACCTGTCCTCTATACCATTGTCCAGTTCTTAAAAGCCATCAGAGGATCAACCATTTGGCTCAGAAACTTCCGAGCTGTTTCATCCGAGCGAGCCAGCTTGGATTCTCACAGTAAGTCTGCAGGAACACAGGGACACACCTGTGATCTGCAGAGCGGCTGGTAGAGCTGCACCTTTCCAGTAACCCAGTGCCTTGAGAAGTAGAATAGTCTCTGCTGGTGGTAAGGCTGAGGTTAATGGCAAAGTGGCTCCTGGGGAAAATAAATTTTATGAAACAAACATGAGTCACGGGCGGGTTGGTTTGTGCTGTGTTGCTCGGGTACGTGCTGTCAGTACCTTTCTTCTGTTCCCTAGGCTTTGTACGAGCTGGTTAAATGCAACTTCAATGCCGAAGAGGCGCTGCGCAGGCTACGGTTTAATGTGAAGGTCATCAGAGGTGAGAACCTCCCCTGTTTGGGTTCTACCCCAAACATTCAGGCACACATAACTCTGTCTAGATACTGTACATGTCCTCCAACGCCTCTTTCTTTCTGCTGTAGATGAGCTTTGTGCCTGGAGTGAGGAAGAATGTAGAAACTTTGAACATGGCTTCAGGGTCCATGGGAAAAACTTCCATCTTATCCAGGCAAACAAGGTAAGGTTGCTCACCCCTGCGCCCTGCTCAGACGAGGGGAGGCAGGCACACGTGCAGAGGGATGTGCTGAGCCTCGGGCCACGCAGAAAGTGCAGGACCTCCAAGTTCCCACCCCAGGCTTTGTGTTGGCTTGTGCTCGCAGGTGATGGGCTGTTCACTGCCCTGCTCTGCCTTATTTTCCAGGTGGGAGAAGTCACAAACAACACTGACCTGCATGAGTGATGTCAGTTAATTACTGATTAGCCCTTTCTGGAGTCTCAAAAGTTCTTTCCAAACTCTCAGCCCTTGCAGTACTTCTGTGAATGAGTGAGTTGAGCATGTGGATGTTTTGTAAAGTCCCCTGGGGTCCTCTGGAGCAAGAGATGCTGTTGTAGGGAGCTGGGCCCCAGGACATATGCTGCTGTGCTGGGAGTTGGCAGAACCAGAGAGTCCAGTTCTACTGCTGATTAACTGTGGGCATGTTGACGCTGGCCAGTGGAAGTGGATGCAGGTTTGCTCTCCTGGTGCTCTGTGCTGCTGGAAGCGCAGGAAATGCTGCACGAGTGTCCCATGCGTGCACCCACACTGGCTCTGCCAGAACAGCCCTGCACAGCGGGGAGTCTCTCTGGCCAGTTACACCTTGGAGATCTCAGCTTCCATTCTGCAGCATAGGTGTGTCCATAGCAATGCAGGTTACTGCAGTGCACCTCATTTTCTGTGCTGGTTAAATGGGAGAAGAGTCCTTTCTCCCCGAGACGCATCTTGGTGCGTGGTGTTCTGACGGTGATGTTTCTCTTCAGGTCCGCACCCGGTCAGTGGGCGAGTGCGTGGAGTATTACTACATGTGGAAAAAATCAGAGCGCTACGACTACTTCACCCAGCAGACGCGTCTAGGAAGGAAGAAGTACGTCCTCCACCCTGGAGCCACGTGCGTGGAATATTCTCACACTAAAATTAGTAATATTAACCTCCCAGTGAAGATGCCTGCTGCCAAGCACCTCCGCTTGAAGGGCTGTGCTTTCTGCTTTAGAAGGTTCCTTGGGTGGGAGCATGGAGGGATGCACTGGATGCTCGCAACATAAATGCTGTCGGTGTGGGGAGGGAAGACAAAGCAATTATTTGCTTGGATGTGGACTTTCTTGTGTGAGAAAACAGTTTTGTTTCAGATAGATGCATTCACAAAAATGAAGGCTAGGGTCAGGGACTCAGGGCTGATGTCAGGAAATAACTCAGTTCAATGAGGTTTTGGGAAGGGAGCTTTTTAAGTTAAAAAATACACTATTTCTGGTGTTCTGGAGCCTGAATTAATTTATTTCCCTGCTGCCACCCTTTGAGGTAAATTCTTCACTTTGAAATGTATGCTAATTACAGAAAAGACTTTTCAAAAAGGTCGAAACTGAAATGTTTTAAAAGGTCAAAATGAAATATTTAAGTTGAATCAATTAAAAGCATTAGATGAAGTTGTAGGGTTTTTTAAATTCAAGACAGGAAAATACATTAAATCTGAAATCCCCCCAGGGTGGGGATGTTTTCTCACCACTTGCTCTGTGCTGGCACACAGACATCGGTCACAGCCCCTGGCCGCTCCCCAGGGAGCGCTCAGTTCGCTCTGGGAGGCTCAGGGAGCTGGTGCGGAGCACGCGGTTTTGGGAAGCTGCGTAGCCTGTCGTGGTTTGTCCTGGGCCCAGTGACCTGCGGTGGCCGCGGGGCAGCCTGCGGAGGGACGGCCACTCGCTCTCCCGAGGTCCCCGCAGCCCCGGTGCCGTGTGTTGGGGGTTCAGTCCCGGGCAGTGCCTCTGCCCGCATCTTTGCTCAGCATGGTGGCAGTGCTCTCTGTCCTCCCCACAGGGATTTCGTTGACAACGATTTGGATGGGGGTGAGGTGGAAAACAGTAGCCGTTCCCGGAGCTCCCCCCCGATTCCCTCTGCAGCCGGCTGCCTGGAGCCTCCTTTTGGCCAGGATCAGCTGGCAATGGAGAGTGCAGGTAACTCCTCTTCTGTCCTCTGTTGTCGTTCACCTGCTGCTCTTCTCCCTGCGCCTCGCCAGTGTGCTCACCTTGTCCTGCGCCAAATACCAGTGCTGGGCAGGCTCTGGTGTGAGCAAAGGGGACATTGACCAGCAGGGACTCTAAAAGAGTTGGTCCTGCATTGGGCTCGGAGAGGTGGCCTAAATCATTCTCAAAGCAAAAAGATCTGCACTGACTTCGGGCACCTGTGGTAGGTGCTTCCAGTGCACTGACACAGGCACAGACACGCAGGCAGCTCCTCTGGAGGCTGGTTCAAGGCACCAGGCGTTGGCTGTACCTGTGATCTGCGTTCAGAGCGAACTGGCTGTGAGGAGGAGCCTCAGGGAGCCTGAAAGGGGCTGGTTCCCTCGCTGTCCTACTGCGGATGAGGGCTTTGCGTAGGCACCTCCCGGGGGTGTTGGCATGGGGGGACAGGACCTGGGATTTGGCTTTTCCTGGAGTATCTCTGTGACATTTCCTTTAATTTCCATAGAAACACTGATGGTCTCCCATCTGCTGTCTGCATCTTGCCTTTCTTCGGCATGTGCTGGCAGGGATCTTGGTTGCTACAATAAATGTTTGTGCCATCAAACAAATACTGCTGGGATTAGGTGGGATGGAACTGGATTCTGGTTTTCGATTGTTACGCACTCACTGGCTTTCTTTTGCTGTCCCCCACCCTTCCTGCCTGTCCCTGTCCCATGTTTCCCTCCTCTCGGAGCGCAGAGCCCCTGAGCGTGGAGAGCACGGCCTGCAGCCTGGGCAGCATCAGCGAGTCGGGGCAGGGCTACGAGTGCAGCACCCCTTCGGAGACGAATTGTTCCTTCGACCCCGCCGAGGAGACGTCCTCGGGCGCTGCCTTGGCCCCTTGTGCGCGACACGGTGCCACCCCTGCGGAGCCAGGGCTCTACGCTTTGCCGGCAGCAGGACCGGGACTCGCAGAGAAGCAGGAGACGTTGCAGAGCTCTGGTGAGACGATAACCATGGACTTCACTCTCCCCGCAGACATTAATGAGGGTTTGCCCTTAATTGCTGGCCCTGTGGATTTGGACAGAAACCCAGAGGCAGTGGTGGCCCCTGCGCAAGTGTCCTTATCGGTCACAGATTTTGGCCTCATTGGCATCGGAGATGTAAATAGCTTTCTGACTGCGCATCAGGCTTGCCCAGCGCCCGTGGCTCGGTCGGAGCCGTTGTCACAGTGAGTCCGCAGTCGCAAACCTGTCACAGACCCAGCTAGGACTTGGACCTGACCGAGTGACATCCTGAACCTCCACTGCCCCGCAGGGACGGCCTGAAGCCGAATCAGTCTTTCCATCCTCCTTGATCCAAGCGAAACCAAACACTTCTGCTTCAGCGTGTCCTGACGCAGTCACCACAGCTGGTGGCTGCTTTAGTGGGGGGGGAGCTCCATCGCCCCGTTTCATTGACCGTGTGTCACCCCACGTAACCCCAGGCTGTTTGGAGAGTCCTTGCCCTCGGGACAGGGGGCATCCCGTGGCTGCAGTGGGACACTGAGCGCAGGGGTGGTTTGGGAACAGGGATGACCTGCAGGGTTGGGCCGAAGGATGCAGCCGGGAGGTCCGAGGGCTTGGGAGGTTTGCAGGGAGTGCAACCCACCAGGGCTGCAGGGGCTGTGAGGAGGGCATGGTGGTGCCAGAGGGACAGGAGGGGTCTTCCCTCTTTGCGCACAGCTGCTCTGCTGCAGTAAAGGCATCGTCCTGTCCCCAGCTGTGACAGGGTTAAGTCCTGTCAGACCTCAGCGCCATGTGTCTCCTTGCTCTGCCAGCCGCTGCGGGCAGGATGGGGCCTGTGCCGTCCCTGTATCACAGGCGTTGGGTTCTGGAAGGGGGCACGGCACGGTGCAGCGGCACTGGAGCACGCAAGGCCTTGCCTGCCCTTGCGGGGCCAGGCTGGGCTGTGGGGAGCTCACACTGGGGGCAAAGGGGGTTTCTAGATCCAGAAAGTGATGCTGCGTGGTGCCATCGCCGCTGCCTCTGTTACTGGTGGTGAATGGCTCAGTCCTGGCAGTGCCTGAGGGTAAAATGCAGGTGAAAACGTCTGTGGCTTCCCAGCTTGTTTGTCAGCTGTGGGAGGAGGTAGCAACTGCTCAGCTCCCAGGGCACCCACTGGAGGACGTGGGTGCCAGCCCAGCCCCAGGCCAGAGCTCGTTGGTCCCCGGGCACCCCTGCCCCTTTGTGTCACAAAAAATGCTCATTTCCGAGAGGGAAGCCACGTCTTCACTGCCATCAGCGACGCTTCGGGAGGTGACGGGGGCAGTCCCACGTGGCAGAGCCGCAGTGCTCACGCGTGTAGGGTGTGCTGGGGCCTGGAGCTGCTTCATCTCCAGGGGGCTGAAATCCACGTGCTCCCATTCCCCTTCATCCCACACAGGGAATGCTCCAAGCTGGGCAAGGCTGGTGCAGATGCTCCCTCCCTCCACTGTTTTCTGTGCTCGGGAAGGGTTTTGGGTTGAGGGTTTGGGTTGGTGGTTTTGGTAGAGGCCTCCAGCGTGTGGGGAAGGTGACCAAGCCCATCAGCCTGGATCCTCCTCAGCCTGCGGTGGGAGCCCGGGGACAGGGTCGGGCCGGCTCTCATCCTGCCAGCCCCGTTTTCATGCGTTCGTGGGGGTTTGCTCAGCCCTGGCTCTGCTGCCGTGCTGAGCCCCCAGCACATGGGAGCCACAACTGGGTGTCGTTTCAGGGGGACTGGAGCTTCCAGTGAGCACCCGCTCCATGGTGCAGCACCCCAGCCACGATCCCCTTTTTCCACAGGGGAGGCAGAGGGGGTGCAGAGCCCTGCAGGGGAGGCCCGGCTGCATCTCCTCTCCATCAGCCAGGAACTTTCTTAGTTTTCCTGAAACTGTTTTTCCTTTGGTTTGTTTCAAGCCCTAATGAAAGGAGAGGGGTGGAAAGGGCTGGGACAGGAGGGGGAGTCGCTGGGGACGTTTGGTTTTGGTTTCTGTTGGGGTTTTCTTTTTTATTCTTACAAAGCACATTCACATTGAGCCACTCCCAATGCTGGACTCTATCCCCCCAAGCCCTACACTGTGAAGTGATACTGCCTTGAAGACCCCTTGCCGTTATTTATTTAATTAAAAACCTAATTTGAAAGTGAGCTGGCACCTGTCGTGCAAGGTGATGGTGGAAGAGAGACGGGAGCTCCGTGTCCCTCCTGTGTGATCCTTGCCCATCCTGCGTGGGTGCTCTGCCGGTCCTGGTTCCCCCACAACCATCGCAGCCCTGCGGGTCCGTTTGTGCTGGCTGCTCCAGCCAGGAATAACATCCTGGAGGAGAGGGCAGCGCTCCTGTGGCAATGGTGCCATTTCCTCTCGTTCCTCACCACAGAGCCCCTCTGACACCCCTGAGCACGGGGCCAGGCCAGGTCCTTCCTGTGTGGCTGCACTGCTGTGGCACTGCATGGGGCAAAGTCCCGGCCATGGTGTGGAAGGGGAGCAGCGGCCTCATCACGCTCCTGCTGCCCCATCCAGCTTCAGTGAGAGGAGAACTTCATCAGCAATGAGATAAAAACCCCCTAAACACCACATCCCTGAGACAGCCCAGGTGTCCCACACATCCCCCCTGCAGCACCACTCAGCTCTCCTGTGGCCTTTACCCATCACCGAAATTGGGGTCCTGCAGGCAGATCCTGCCCCGGGGCCGATGGGCTGGGAGCGGGGGAAGTGCACCATTTGGATCGGGTGGGATCAGAGCAGAGGAAACACGGCCAAGGGTCTCTGCTCCGCTCCCTAAGCTCCAGGGCAGCCTGAGAGCACGTCCAGCGCCACTGGCTGCCCCCAGCAGCCCTGATGTTGCCGCAGCCACTCACACTGCACCTGGACCGACAGCCCATGGTCATCGTTTGGGTGGTTTCTGTGTTATTTCTGTTTTCTTCTGCTCCTGACCAAGTCGTTTCTGGAGCAAGC